GGAATCAAATCGAATGAAATGGAATCAAATCGAATGAAATGGAATCAAATCGAATGAAATGGAATCAAATCGAATGAAATGGAATCAAATCGAATCAAATCGAATAAAGTCAAATCAACGCAAAACAAAGCAGACAAAGTGGTCGAGACGAAGGAGCACCCGCTTCGTCAACGTAAAAAACCCTACAAAAGGTGCACAGAATTGTTTTTTTTTCAAAGTACAAAAAAGGTAAGATAAAAAAAAATGGCAGTATTGGGGATGGTGCTTCGTGCGAGTGGGATTTGATTCCCAATTGGTGACTTTTTGGTAGCTTCATGGGTGCCCAGTTGGTGGCTTCCCCCTCTATGTTAGTACCCTCCTTTTGGTCGCACTTCCCCTGAAGTGGTTTTGTCTCACCTGGCCGCGTACTGCTAGCGGCTCACAACGCGTCCGAAAACTTGATATTCGAGTCGTAGTTGCCGAAGGGGTCGGCCACCTTCTGCTTACTGACATGCGGGAGGGAGTAAATGGTGATGATCAAAATGGCAATCATGACGCAAAAGAAAACAATGGAGGTCCAAGCGAAGATGACAAAGGGCTCAGCTGCATCTTCAGGAGTACAATCCCCATGGTTACATGGAATGACTGATTGGATGTCGTAGCGTACATCATAGCCATCTCGGAGTCTGTATCCACTTCCACAAAGGGAAGAGCAACTTGAGTTTTCAAACAAATGTATACATTCATCATTATTACAGTGTTCTTTGTCTAGGTTAACGGATTGAAGGTTGGATGTTTGCGTCTCGTTTATTCCTATGCTCTGTTCCATGTATCGATTATAGTCACCGTCTGCACTGTCCATATTGCCCATGGGGTAATCTGTGCCGTGTAAAATGGAATGCAGCTTTTTTTCAATGTCGTGTTTCATAAGTTTTTTTAAAATGTCCTTATTGATGGATTTTATACTTGGAGGTTTGGCTTCAAAGGTGACAATCAAGTTTCCTACGGAAATTTTTTTTTCCTTCTCATCATAATACATGGGACAGTTGTAGACAACCTCTTCTTCGTTAATGATTGGGAGCACATGTTTGTAAATATCTCCTATGTGTTCAAAATGGAGAGGACAGTCTTTGCCAAAGTACACGTTTTTTCCATTGGGGAGTGTGGTCCCCAGTATGTAGAGTATATGTCCCGGTTGAGCTGTGACTGTGTACTTGGTATTCGAATTGTCCTCAGTTAAATTCAGTTGGTTATACAAGTCAACGACGTGTTTGTTGCTTAAATTTTCATTTTGAAGTGGGTAATTTTTTACTGCAATTTTTGCCACTCCTTTGTGGATTTCCTTGTTTTTTTCATTTCTATTTTCGAACACACAATGGATGTAGTTATTTTTCTGCACATTTTTTATTTTTAAAATTGATGATAGATATTCTGTCTTGTATAGCGAATTGGAAGCTGACACTTGGATTTCGTCCTTGTTAAATATGTTGTATATGGACACTGGATTGTTTCCTGATTTGTTTAATGAAACTTCTTCAAAGCATTGGGTTAATATATTGGTGTTTTCTCTTCCGTCTCTCCATTTGGGGATGATCACTCCGATGGTGTCTCCCTGGCCAATTTCATGGTGGCACGTGACATCTGCGTAGTAGTCGTCGAAGTCCAGGTTGTACTTGGACGCGGAGAAGTCGCACACGTATCCACGGCTCCGTACGGGGGGGCTCAGTAGGAGCACGAGGAGGCATAAGTAGCGGGCGAGGTTCGACATGGTTGCTGGCGGTGTTTGCTTGAGGGCAGGTATGGCTGCAGTTCTGTTGCGGTTTTATTGCGGTTTCGTTGCGTACCAATATGACTGAGGTTTGGCTGCGAATCCGCAGTGGAGTGACGAGTGGCGCGGAAAAGCGATGGGGAAAAGCGACGCGGCGATTTATGCGAGGCGTATCTTTATACGTGGAGGAGCAAGCCCGAGGGGATTAAACTTTACGAAAATGCGCGCAATTCCGTAGGCGCCCCTATGAGTACGTATATGAGTGTATATATATACATATGTACAAGTGTCTGCACAGTTGGCATGCGCTTTGGAAAATAAAAAATGCTAATACATTACAAAAAAAAATTAACAAAACATAAAAGAGAGTGAATCAAATTGTTGTCTTTTTTGTTTTTTTTTTTACATAACGTTAGCACATAAACAAAAAGGCTTCCTTCAAAATGATCTGCGGAAAGAAAAATCATTTACAATGGCGACGGCAATTTCTGTTCT